TATATTCCAGTTCAGTATATTCCCTAAATTTTCATTTAAATACAAATATTCTATGTACTATAATCTCAGGGTGTTAAGTATGTTCATCCTACAGTAGAGAAAAAGATGTAGAATGATATTTTATTGTTTCAACAATAGTGAAATTGTACTCTTCCACTAGGGGAGCTGCGGTGGCTCAAGTGGTTAAGACGCTGAACTGCAGGCTGTGGAAGGTCAGTAGTTCAGCAGTTCAAGACCCGGGTGCCGCAAGACGGAGTGAGCTTCCGTCTCTAGGTCTTCGGACAGCGCTGGCTCTTCGGCTTTGAAACGGAGATGAGCACCGCAACCCTAGAGTCGGATTCGACTGGCTTTCGAGCAAGGGGACCTTTACCTTTACCTATATTCCCTAAATTTTCATTTAAATACAAATATGCTATGTACTATAATCTCAGGGTGTTAGTATGTTCATCCTACGGTAGAGAAAAAGATGTAGAGTTATATTTTATTGTTTCAACAATAGTGGAATTGTACTCTTCCACTGGTGAAGGGAACCTTTACCTTTACCTTTTACTCTTCCACTGGTGCTGGGGTATCAGTGAATTTTCCCTAGGACACATTAACCATGATTTTTCTTTTTTTGTCTTCTGCTCACAGCATGGAACTTGGTTTATCTGTGTGAATCTTTGTGAGTTATCTGTCCTCTAAACACTTCCCATTGCACCTCTTCCAAGCTTTTAGAACATTATGATCTTGCTTGTCCAAGTTGGTTGTTGGTGTGGTAGTAGATGGATGGTCTTATTATGCAATAGAGGGTAGAAAAGATGCCTTCTTTATGCTTTCCAAGGCTATGTTGTAAACTGAAATTAGGGTATACTCAGATTATAAATCCTTAAGTAAACTAATTGTCTTCTTATTCTAGGTTCATAAAATGGCCATCACAATGCCTGTCTGATCTAAACTGTATGTTAATCATGGACTACAATGATGAATAAAAGATAACGGTATTGCAAAGTTTAAGAAGTACTTCAGGGCAATCTTTTTGTAATTTTGGAACCCTCCAAAACAAAATTGTGTGTATTTTAACATAAAGTGCTTTGTGTGAAGATTTAAAGGGAAAAAACACACTTTCCAGTGAGAAGTAGTTAAGAGACAGCAAGCCCCCATTACAGACTATGGTAAAAGCAATTCACATACAAAAAAGAGCACACTGCCATATGGAGATATAAAGAGAAAATCAGCTGAAGTCGGAAAGCACTAAATATGCAAATAGGGGTATTCTTTAGAGAGGAGTGAATGGAATAACTAATTACCCAAATGGTCCTAACATCAGCCATACTGGCAAACTCTGTAAGGCCCACGGGTTCAGGAGAGAGTTGTGCTATTCTAGAGCTTGCATTTTAAGTGTTTCTGTAGCTTGAAGGAGGAAATTTAGATAATAATTTTTTTTTATTTGCTGATTTAACAATTTCCAAATACAAACATTACCACGACTGAATTATTAAAGATAATGAATGCACTGAAAGGAGAATGAGAACTGACAATGTGTGGAAGGGAGGGGACAGTGCAAATAAGACATTAACATTTATGAATATATTATATGTTTAAGGGACAATGATAGGACTTGATCATTAATAAATTTTGTTAAGGTGGAAAGAGATTCTCAGTTACCCTAAAACAGTGGTATTCAGTCAGTGGCTTGCAGAGAGCCTCATTTTCAGTTATAAGAAACCAAAAGAGCCCCATGACTACTGTATACCTTGTGCACCACCCTACCAAAACACACACACATACAAGGGTATAAGAGAAAACTCATGAGTATATGTAACTATAAACATGATTGCAGTCACATGATTTTCTGGGCCCTTTACTGCTATCCCTAGCATGGGTCCTGCAGTTTACCCACCCTCCAGTACCTCTGACAGTGGATGTTTCAAGATGGGAACCACTTGTCAGCAACACGCCTTGCCCACACCAGGCCTTGCCCACTTTCCTGGACCATGAGGTGGGGAACAGTGCTCAAAAGAGCCATAGATGCCATATCAAAAAGCCACATGTGACTCTTGAGTCACAAAGTGATTGTCACTGTCCTAAAGCATAGTGAGGGGGTTTAGTAACATACCTCTTTTTCACAAGCATAAAAATATCCTAGGCACTTCTTTACTCAAAAGTAGCTACAAGGGAGGACTCAGAAGTGTGACATATAACCTATCTAGGGATGGACAGAAACTGGGAAAATGCAGTTTGGTTCATGGTGTGTCTGGTTCATGGACCATGAACCATCATGAACATTTAGGGGCCAAACAAACTGGTTCAGGTCCTGAGATTCATGACCACTAGAACAGCCCTCCCAGCATGCTAGAGACACCAAACTCATAGGGGATCTCTGGCTGACTCTCCTCTACCTGGCCTGCAAGTTTGGTGAGGATTGGATTTACGTGGTCCAAATTACAGCCCCCCCCCCAAGATGCCCTCAGGAAAGTGCTTTCTGGGGAACTGACCGCCTGCACTAGCTGACAGACGGTCATTTCCCCAGAAAGCACTTTCTTGGGGGGCACCCTTTGGAGGAGTTGTAACTTGGACCCCATGAATGCAATTCTCACCAAACTTGGGAGCAGGTAAATGAGTCAGCTAGAGATCCCCTGTGAGTTTGGTGTCTCTAGCTTGCACAGGATCCATTCTATACACCCCTGAACCTCTGGAACCTGCGCTTGTCCCCCAGATGATCCTCTACATGACCACCAAGTTATGTTGCTTTGAAGTTTGGTAAACATTGATTGTGTAGAGACAGTGTGTCAGGAAATGTATCTGCTCACGAACTGGCATGAACTTCTATGAACAGCTTGAAAGTTTATAAAAAATCCATGCCGGTTGACCTGCCACAAACTTCACTTCATGAACCACAAACCGGCAAACTTGACTGTAGCAAGACATACCCTACTTCCCAACACAGCTCTCTAACCATCACCAGTTTGGTGTTCTGTCCCAAAACTTGTATTTGATCACACATCAGCAGAAATTGTGATTGCCTCAGAATGTGAATTCTGATGTCACAATGCAATTCTGTATTGAACGACTTCAGTTTAAGCCTAAAAGCAGTGGACCAAGTACTGATCCCTGCGGTACCCCACTGCTTACCACCCTCCACTGAGAAAATTGCCCACCTACACTCACTCTCTGCAGTAACTCTGCAGAGGATTGCACTGTCAGTTTTCTTACTCAGTGGCTTTAATTCCATGGATCTGTTCTGCTAACAGCAGGCTCTTTTCTCTGGTGCAAGGAGCTTTCTGCTGATGTGCAACGTTCTCTTGCTGATAATCTCTTTGTACTGGGAGAAAGCACTGCCATTGATAGAAAAGTTCCACAGGCTCTAGTCTTTTGGAGAGAGGTCAAAAACTATGGGTAGAACTGTATCCATGACTGATCTTCAGCACTTGCTTCTCACAGTGAATGCGGTAGAACTGTATCCATGACTGATCTTCAGAAGAGGGCTGGCACTTGCTTCTAACAGTGAATGTGGTTTGGAAAAGCAGAGAAGCATGTTCTGGTCTTTGTCTAAACTGTATTTTATGGGAATGGAAGAGTGGGAACATGAGGAATGCCTCTGAAAAAGAATGCTCAGCTATTTTATTTAAGTAGGAACCTCAAAATTTACCTTAAGATATTCTGCAGTTTTGGGGACTTTACCTAAAAACAATAGGTGGTACCTAAATGCAGTTCTTCATGCCTTTACACTTTGATGATTTCAGTAATTAATGGATGCAGTGTTGTTTTTCCTTTGGGACAATAAAATTGGGGTCAAGACGGCATCTTCTGCTTCAGAACTAGTTCCTTTTCTTCAATGGATATTAGAACACTAAATTCTTTAAAAGAAATTACTCTGTTTTAGATTCATTGCACTTATCCTGCATTTTTATCCAAGGAGCTCAGGATGATATAATAGGCTCCCCCCTCCCTTTCCTCACAGTAGATGACACTGGGAGAAACCGATTGGCCGACAGTCACTCCATAAGCCTTATGGTCACACCCAACACCCATGATAGGTCTCCCCAATCATTGCCCAACACACTAGCCGCTATATTCCACTGACCTCGATTTATGGATTGGGGTTGTAACTGAGCCCGCTTGCGGGAAAGGCAAGATATAAATCGGAATAATAAAATAAAATAAACAGAAGCTCTTCACCAGTACTCAGGCTAAGTTCAGTGACATGCATTTCTTTTTATTAGATTTTCTAATGCTATTTACTTGCTTATTTTATAACATGACTCCCATAAAATGACAGAAATGAATAGGGAAATGTAGCCATGTAGGTGGTCCATAAGAGAGCACATGGGTGAGTGCCACCCCCCATATCCCTTCACAGCTGGCATAGACCAGTCCTTATCTGCCTTGGCTCCTGTTTTCTTTCGCTTTGCAGTGTGGACTTCCTGCCTAGTGCCTCACCTGCAGCATTAGTTTAGGTTTGTTTCTGATTCTTCTCTTTGGTCCTATTCAACTATAGCCCTTCCTTGACGCTATGTTAGATGTCTACCAAATAGCTGAAGTGTTTATTGAAATGTGAGGATAGTTGTGAATTCTGACTGGGTGACTGAAAGCCTGCAAATTCCCTTTTCGGTTGGCTTTGCTTAACCTTTTTTCCTCTGGGCCCTTGCAACCTATGCTTGATGACACCTTTTTTCTGTCAAGTGTCAAAGGCCTGTAAAGTTCCTGACATAGTAAAATGTCACAACCGCATTTATTGTTAGCCTTCCAATATCACTCTGCACTGACAGTGTTTGTTCCTCCAACTTTTAGCAGGATAGTGAATTTGGGGGGCGGGGGCTTTCTCTCAGATGAAACCTTATATATTCTGTAAAAGCTGTCATTACCTCTCAATTTTACCTCTCAGCTTTTTAACACTACCTTTCAGCCTACATTTTTGAAATAATCTGCAGGGACAAGGTTGACAGGCAGAAATTCTTGCATAAAAGCACCTGTAATATTACTATGAAAGATAAAACTAATGTTTGAAATTTACTCACCTTTCTTTTTGACTGGTGGTTGTGTTACTTCTAAATAGAAAACAAACATATAGAAATGTTAGTCTGCAATTTAGTTCTGTTTTAATAAAATTTCCTTTCCTCTGCAGTCTTTCATGATTTATGTGGAAGTGAGTTCAGCTAGAATTAATGAGTCTGCTTTCATACAAATAGGTTTGGGCTTCGGCATGGTTTTCATTCTCCTAAAATATTCATAAAATTTCTTTAAAGAGGAATAGAGTGGGGAATCTATATATGGGGACAGAAAGAAAGATACAAAACTTCTTGGGAATGGGCAGGTAGCAGAAAGAAGTCTGTGCCATCTATCTCAGTTCTCTATGTAAGCTAGGTGAAAGGGAGAACTAGGGGTTGCAGTGAATCCAGAGCTGGTACCATTTCAAATAGTCACAGCTCCCTTAATATATGCAGATTTTAAGAGACTGGGAGCTGCAAGCTACCTTAGCTCTGCTGTACCACTATCTGTCACTTGAATGGAAGGGAATAATCTTTAATGCTGGCCTAGTTCTTCCTTATTCATTCGCTGGTGAGTAGCCATGTTGGTCTGAAGCAGCAGAACAGAGTTTGAGTCCAGGGGCACCTTTAAGAGCAACAAATAATAAAACTGTGTTGGTCTTAAAGATGCCACTGGACTCAAACTTTGTTATTCATTCTGTTACCCTGACTTTAATTGTTTAAATGGATTATAAAACTCATGTACCTTTTTTATGGTTGTGTAGAAGGAAGATTTTTACAAGATGGATATTCTCTTCTCATACCACTGCCATAGTAGGGAATCTGCACACACTTTTTTATCTCTCAGCCATACAACAAGAAGCACCAGAGCTCTGTATTTCAATATATCTAACTCTTAAATCTGGAGATTGGAACTGTGAACGGACAGGACAGATCTTTTTACAAACCTGAGAAAAGCCCCAGGTTTGTAAAGAGGGAGGGGGAAGTGAAATCCTATACATATACACAGACATGAACACACTTTTTGGGAAGTTAAGAAGAAGAAGAAGAGAGAAGAGATTGGATTTATACCCCACCCTTCACTTGGGAGTCTCAGAGCGGCTTACAAACTCCTTTTCCTTCCCCTCCCCACAACAGACACCCTGTGAGGTGGGTGGGGCTGAGAGAACTCTGACACAAACTGCTCTTTTTCAAGGACATCTGTGCCAGAGCTTGCGACTGACCCAAGGTCATATCAGCAGGTGCAAGTGGAGGAGTGGGGAATCAAACCCGGTTCTCCCAGATTAGAGTCCGCGCACTTAACCACTACACCAAACTGGCTCTCAAGTTAACCCCCCTGAAATGTACTGGGTTCAAGAAGCATAGACGAGTGATTTCAGCTCATGATTTATTCGTAGGTAGAAACTGAGACAAGAAAGCAGGGCCCGGGGGCCTGCTTATATGCTGGTTCCAAACCACACCCAACACCCATGATAGGTCTATTTAGAGTGCCTCAATAACCACAGATTCATTCTAGGATCCAAATCGGCTGATAGGTCCGTTCTAGGATCCTCAGTGTCCATTGTTCTAGGTTGTGAAGCTCCGTGTGTTCACTAGGCCACGTGCGAGGCTGACCGCGTGCATGGTCCTTTCTTAGGACATAACACCCCCATAATAGAAGTTGCACCTGTAGCTTTAAGAAATGAATGCCCTCTGTGGCTGTTGCTAGTCAACCACAACAGTATTGACAAAGTTCAAGTCTTGATTTCTTTCAGTAAAAGGCAGGAGGGCAGGACCATTCCAAGGGTATTTTGGCTTCTGAGGGAGGACTCATGGTCCCAGGCCCAGCAACAACCACTGGGTGACTTCCTACCACTCAGCTTGCATCAACTCACCTAGGCCTGGCTGCTTGCTACTGTTCAACAGCAGCCACCCCAAGAAAGCCAGTGTGGTTGAGTTTCAAACTAGAATCTGGGACGCTCAGGTTTGAATCATCATTTTGCTGCAGAAGGTCACTGGGTTACCTTGTTGCAGTTACACACTTGCAGGTTAATATACTCCCATGGTTGTTGTGAGGACAAAATGGAGGAGGGGAGAATGATGTAAGTTGCTTTGGGTCCCCATTGTGGAGAAAGATTTAGTATAAATGAAATAAATAAATAATAAATACAATGGAATATGAGCGGCAGATAAAAGGCAGGTCAGTTTGTGGATGGGAAGAAGAGAAGGAAGAAAGGAAAGGTGAGGATATGGGTGATACCAGGAGCAGAGAAAGAGGAAATAGTTCGGTGTGGAGATGCAGGGGAAAGTGAGGTGCCCCCTTCAAGTCCTTGCAAGTTCCCCACTGTGCAACTGAACCCAGCCCAGATTGGCAGTCAGTACCACATAGCACTTTTCCCAGAGAGAGACTGCCACCTGGAGGGAAGGAAGGAAAGCTGCAGACAGCAGGGCAGATGGGTGGGAAGAACAGCAGGAAACAGAAAAAGGGGAGAGGCTGTGTGGGCTTACAGGGAAGGAACAAAGGAAACAGTGGGGGGATAAGATAAGAATGCAAGAAGAACCCTGCTGGATCAGACCAAGAGTCCATCTAGTCCAGCATCCTGTCTCACACAGTGGCCAGCCAGTTCCTCTGGGCAGCCAACAGGACACAAAGACCGAGGCCTTCCCCTGTCCCTTCCTACATTCATTGTGATCTCAGTATCATGCCTACTCAACACTACATGCAAATTCTGAAAAGCAGCCCTAGAATAATTTGTACCTAAATTCCTATAGATTAGCCGAGGTGGTTCAAAGAGTTTTGCGTCCCCAACCACCCTCCTCCTGAGCTGCCCCCATTGGGTCAGATGAGTTCCTCTACAGCCTGCCTTGGAGGAGGGCAGCTCAAATGTCTGTGACATGCACTTCCTCCTGTGTCATCTCTGCCAATCTGGCACACACACCCCCCCCCAAGCACTTGCTTGGGCAATCTGATTCATTCAAATTGTTTCCCTCCATAGAATGCAGAGTGTCCTGCAGTAGCAAGGACCAGGGCTGTGTGACAGAGTTTCCTGGCCACAATGTAAGACTGAGCAGTCTAATTAGATGAGCCAATTTCAGCAAAGAAAGACTGAAGGGCTAGCTTGCTTATACCAAAGGTGTGATCACACAAGCTGTTTGGCCCAACGTAGCCACCCCTCCCCTCCAGATCAAATGGGTGTGGTCACACAACTACATCTGTCAGGTGTTCCCCAGGCATACTCACCCCATCATAGGATGACTTGAAGCCAGGTTAAAAAGGCACTACACCAGAAGTGGGTTTTTTTTCAATTCCTCATGCATTCATTGCGCATGGCTGAATGTCTGACTGCAGGGGAGCATGTACAGACTGGATTGGCGGTCTGAACCTGCAGATCCATTCCCACTGCTAGGGTGGGGGGTTTGGGGGAGTTTTTACCTATATGTGCATGTGCACATATGAGCAAATGAGCACATGTTAGTGTGCATGAATGCATGTGCATGAGCACATATGTACCCACCTGCATTTTTAAAAAATGGCTGGGCAGTGTGTTCCATGGCTGGGGCACTGCATTAATGTGGATGCTTGACCACAGGATGTCTGTGTGGGTAACCTGTAGCAGGGTGTGCTGTCTGGATTATATGCCCTGCAACACTTTAAACTGGTACAATTAGAGGCGGCACCATATTGCACCAAGCAGCCAGTGTGACCACACCCCAAGTTTCAATTACTGTTTTTATAGTGTTTCTAGCCCTATTCAGCTTCTCCTGAGATGAACACTCCATTCATGAGCAAGGAGTTTGTTAGTTTACTTGTTATACCTGCCTTTCTCCCCACTGGTGTGACCCAAAAAGGTTTACGGCATTCCCCCATTTGCCATTTTATCCTCCAAACAACCGTGCAACATTGGTTAAGAGTATATAATTGGCCTAAGGGCACCCAGCTAGCTTCCATGGCAGAGTGGGGATTTGAACCTGGGTCTCCCAGATCCTGGTCCAATACTCTAACCACGACACAATACCAGCTCTCCAGTTCATGAGTGTTTCAGCCATCGCTCTCATTTTTCAACTTAGATCATTCACAGCTTTCATATGCCAGTGCATTTCCCTTTGGAACTTATAGTATCCTCCCATTTGGCAGGGCTTCTGCACCTTTAGCATCTGCATGATGAGTAGAAATCCAGCAGATCCACCTTTTGCTTACATGGGAATGAAGTCATGAGGAAACTTCAGCTGCTGCAAAGCTGAATCTCATGCAGCCCTGCCACAAAAATAAGGCATTCAGCCTCATTTGGGGGCTGAGATTGTCCCAAAACAATGGATCATAGAAAATGTTATGAGAATGAATCACAGTGATACCTCTTGTATGTCCTTAAAAGACACATTTGATGGATGACATCGTTAAGGGTTTCAAGCACTTTCAATGTTCAAAGTTCATGTAATCCTTATAATCTTGTAAGGTAGGCCAGGTTTAGTCCTGTATCAGTGGCTGAGGCTAAGAGAATCCATAGCAGAGACAAGATTGAACCAGCATTTTCTTAGAAGACAGCTCTTAGCCCCTATGCTACACCAACTCCCTGTTTAATGGTCTCCTCATAACAAAAACATCTTTCAGACGAATAACCATTCAGCTTTGGACTCTATGTACTGCAGAGGAACACACTATTCTGCATGACTTACTAATGATTTTTATCTGCAGAGAGGCTGCACAATTAGTAGAAAGATGTATAATTAGCAGTAGCACTGGCAGCATAAAGCTGCATTGTTCCTGCCTAATACCCACTTAATCAAACAAAGCATGTGACCTTTTATAAAGATGAGCAAAACCAACCTTTTATTTTCAAGGAAGGTTCCACTTCACCTAAACCAAAAGAGGAAATAATAAGCAGATGAATAGCAGCATAATAATATATTAGCAACATTTTTCTTCCATGCTCAGTTATTTTCATGTTTAAATGCACTCAAGCAGTATGAGTTCAACAATACAAAGAAAGGAAAGGAGCTCAACTCTGGGGCTGTAAGACTTACACACTTTTATTTTCATGTGTAGATCTGGGTGTTTGCAGCCATTTTCATCCCATACTGAATGAGAAGCCTGAAGTGGATTCACATATTAAATCCAAGGAACAAAGAATGCCACAGACACTGAAACTCTATTGTGCAGGCTTCAACAATTTCTTGTTCTAATTGGACTTCTTTGTTTATTTACTTTATTTACCCCCTGCCTTTCTCCCCAGTAGGGACCCAAAACAACCAATATCGTTCCCATCGCCTCCATTTTATCCGCCCAACAACCCTGTGATATAGGTTAGGCTGAGTGTGTGTGTGACTGGCCCAAGGTCACCCAGTATGCTTCCACATCAGAGTTGTGATTCGAATCCAGGTTTCCCAGATCCTAGTCCAACACTCTAACCATTGCATTATACTGGCTCTCCTTGTGCTGTTAGGAGACATTTCTATGGGTTTCCCAACTTGCAAGGACAGCTTATCAAATAGAGTGGCAGGATGGAATCCAATGAAGAATCCTTTGTTTCTGTTTCATGACTTGAATATCCAAAATTGCAGTGTAGACTATTTAGTACCTGTTTGGATACGAAAGGTTGCAAAGCTGAACCATCCACAGACAACATAGGGGTCTCTACACTCAGGGGACTCCCCAAATTTACAACGAAACCTCCGACCTTGTAAGGTAACCATTAGAAAAAGGAACAAATTGCTAAAAACAAAAACAGACTGATAAAAACTGTTTTGCCCCCGAAGGAATGGAATGTTAAAGAGCATCTAAGTATCAATTAAAATGGGGGAAAGCAAGGGGATGAGAAATCAGCCTACTCTCTGGGGACTCATAGCTTCCAAGGACTCATTGAATGGCTGACTGAGAGAATTTCCAAATCCCCAACACAGACTCATATACACACAACTCCCTGTACTGTGTATTTCCAGTTTTCAAATAACTGAATGTGAACTGCATTTTTTCCCTTTTCAACTCCAACTGCAGGAATAAGTGATCTGACACTGACGGTAAGTCATACCACAGAGTAGGACCCAGTGTTATAAAGACATACTGGTTAGTATTCAAAAGCAATACTAATCCGAGAGCCCCCTGCAGTGGTAGAAATTAAGCAATACTTCAAACTGACAAATGTATTTGGAGGGAACCACTTTTTGGTTCCAGCTGGGTTTTAATTATATTTGTTAAGAATGAGCGCTCTCTAAAGCTGCAAAGCAACAATGAATATGGAATGAAGACTTTACTGTTGTGTTCATCACACCAAAGAGCAGATCTCCAGACTACAGAGATCAGTTCCCATGGAGAAAAGGACTGATTTGTAGGGTGGACTCTATGGCATTAGATGATGCTGAGATCCCTCCCTCTCCAAGCCCTGCCCTCCCCAGGCTCATTCACAAAATCTCCAGGAAATTTCCCAACCCAGAGCTGACCACCCTAACCTGTCAATACATAGCAAAACTGATCATCTTTTGATGTTTCAATAAAACAGACTGGATAATACATTTTCAATGCAGTGATGAAAACAGCAGAAGCAATGGCCACTATAAAGGGAGTTCCTTTAAGAGGAGGGTCCATGGCTCATTGGGAGAGCATTTGCTTCGGATGCAGAAGGTCCCCAATGCAATTCCTGGCATCTCCAGTTAAAAGAATCATATGGTAGATATACAAAACCTGCAGAGAGATCCTACCTGAGATCCTAGAAAGCCACTGCTGGTCAGAGTAGACAATACTGACATTGAAGTCCAATGTACTGGAAGTCTGATACAAGACAGTTTCATATGTTCAAGAGAACTTGCATGTAACTGACTTTTTCATAGCCAAATTGTACAAATTATACACTCTCCCACTGCAGGTGACACCAAACTGCTATTCAGAAAAACAGCCTCTGGAGGCATGTGCAGTTAGTTATGCAATTTCACTAGACTGCAGCTAGTATCATAAGTCCTAGACATTAGGCACTACATTAGCACTCAAATTTCCTTTGACTTAACATCTATCATTGTGATTCCAGTAACACTCCAACACACTTCAGTATCAAACACCAAATGGGACAGGAGGATTTCGAATTTCAATGGATCCACTGAGAGCTGTTCAATTGGTCAAATGTTCCCATTACACAAAAGTAAAGAGAAAATCTGTTTAATGGCTTATGCCATTCACAAAAGCAAGCTCTTTGGTACCAGTATTTCCTTTACTGTGACTCTACAATTTTTTGTTAGCATATAGAGAAACAACAATGGTGACATTTTAATTTTGACTTCCTCTCTAAAATGTCAGATTAAGCATAAATGAGAATTACTCAACAACAAAGCGAGTTTTTTGGAGATCCAGTGACCATTTGATGCACTCTAGTATCTAAAAATGAAAAAGGAAATATGAATGGTGTATTATCATGTTTTTATTTGAAATGTTTTAAATGACTCCTATGTATTTTAATTGAAAATCTTATTTTCTTTTGATGGAATCATTGTGTTGTTATGGCTTATTTGCTGATGTAATGAAGACTGTGATGATGAAAAAGGAAACAAAATTGCAACAATTTCAGTATAAGAACTCCCAGTATAAGAACTCAGCAATTGTGGTGGGGGGGAGCTTTGAAAACATCAGAGCATGCCTCCAGTTAGGAATACCTTTTTCACTTTCATCTTCATCTTCAAATATGAGGTCCGATAGCAATGAAAGATAGCCATAAACCCAATCAGTGGTCTCTTCCACAGCGCCATGTATGATTCTCAGTGGGTCAGTAGTAAGTTTATTCACAGAACGTCCTGAGAGCAGAATAAAAAGACAGACAAGGTTGGAAAATAAAATTTGTTCTATTTCAACTGATGTAAATAATTTGTCTCATTCGGAGAAACTAGGAGGAAAAAGAGAAGCTTCACTGGGAGATTATAACACTAGCTTGCATCCTAAGGGCAGTGAGGGGCACTGAGTGAAGAAGGAAACTGGAATAACCATACTGACAACCGATTGGAACAAAACCAGGCTACAGCGCTATTGTTTACAGCATACAGAGCATTTAGCACAGCATAGGGCAGGATACAAACATCGAGTGACCCGACTGTCGGCTGATGATGAAACCCCATCCCCAGCTTGTGTGCTGGGGGAACTGGGAGTGAAGCAGGTGGTTCCACAAAAGCACAAGCCCCTGCACGGAAACTTTGCCACCTGGGAGTGGAGCCAGGCAACCACCTCTGAGCTGGGCATGCCACTAAATGGCTTGACCCTCAACCCCCCCCCACAGATGGTAGGCAAGCATGCAGGTGCCACCTCCCAAAAATGGATCCTCCCCAATGCCTGAAACCGTCACAATTCTATGACAAAAAATAAATAAAATGAAAGTACACAGAACTAAATCAAAGAGGTAGGAAGGGTGTGTCTGACTATCGAAGCAGACCTGATGCACAGCTGCTGGGGCTTTAAATAGTGAAGAACAGGGGTGGGGCAACAGCTGACGCCCCCCATGGCCAGCCCCAAACTGGTGGGGCAAGATGATAAGGCAGCCAAGCTGAGGATAGGAAAGCCTCCACCAAACCACCCAGTTCCTGGCAGCTCACAAGATCCCTGCAGGCCAGCTGGAGTCATGCCACAGCTCTCGGAGATCCCATCATTTGGCCAGAGCTCCCTCACTCTGCAGGTACAAAGCAGCCAGTGACACGGAATTGCTGAACTTGGGTTCATTTACAAATTCAGAAAAATGGACAGAGGTCCTCAGTACAGGTGCTAATTTTCTGGCCATAAGCATTTCTTCTCTGATAAAGCTGATAACATTTTGCCTTGTAACTTTGCGTCACGATGCAACAACTTGGCAACAGTGATCCACGCAGTGGTCACCTCATGATTGGACTACTGTAATGCTCTCTACATGGAACTCCTCTTGTCGCAAATCTGGAAGCTACAGCTAGTGCAAAATGCTGCAGCTAGGCTTTTAATGGGCCTACCAATGCGGGAGCACATTCAGCCTGTGCTAAAGGCATTGCACTGGCACCGATAGCATACCGAATTCGCTTCAAGGTGCTGGTTCTTACCTTTAAAGCCCTTTATGGTCAGGGACCTACATACCTGAGGGACTGCCTTTTGTAACCATGTGTGCTTGTAACTGCATTGTTTGTACTGTGCTAATGCTATATGTCTGTTGAATGTCTTTACATTTGTGCGTATGGGATAATGGGGTTGCTGTGTTTGTATGGCTTGCTTTGCATCTCATGCTTGCATCTGGATGAGCAAGGCTTGAGTTGCCTGTGCTACAGAACACGTGCTTCCCTGCACCTTCCCAGCGTGCCTCAGGACAAAGAAGACAAACGCCATTATGCTCAGTTTGAAACCTTGGAAAAACAACAGGTTTCCCCACCATTGCTGATCTGTGGGAAAACGCGTAACACATCCTGGTTAACCCATCTTTCCCTCACCTTGCAACTTAAGTACTGCAGGTGATTCTTACTGCGTTCTCGGGAGTCGCGACCCGAGAACCCGCATGGGACTGGCAGGACCATTCCGTGTGTTTTAGAATCCCACCCGCCGATACTTAAGTTTCCCCCTTTCATCTACTGAGGAGATTTCTTCTCAACGTGAACCTCAGATAAGTATAAGCGACATCCTTCTGTGTTGTCCCCTTGTCTGTTGAATTTATTACTTTTCATGCTGATTGCTTTCTATTTACCACTGTAACTAAGGAACTTGTGTGAATCTGCGTATGTATCTGTTTTCGTATGCTTGAGAACTACTTAGTAAAGGCAACATTTATTCATTAAACCTAGCGTGTTGTCTCAATTCCTGGGAAATAGGAGCGTTCATTGGCCGATCCGCCCTCTGTATACACGGGTAATTACTCACGCACGCCCACTGCCATACATAAGACAGAGCTGGGCTCTCGGAACCATCCTTAGAGGAGTTTCGGTAACACTTTCCCCACATGTTCCCCAGAGAGCACTGCAATTGGCCCTCCCCAGACTCAAGGATGCCAGGCTGTCGACAACCAGGGCCAGGGCTTTCTCAGTGGCGGCTCCTCTCTGGTGGAATGAGCTCCCAGAAGAGATCAGGGTCCTGCAGGACCTCATGCAGTTCTGCAGGGCCTGCAAGACAGAGCTCTTCCACCAGGCCTTCAATTAGGAGCCACCCCCGATAGAGAACCCTGTTCCCTGAAGCCATCAGAACAGCCTGTGCTGGCAGCACAAAGGTTAGATCTATTGGCTGACCTCCAGGATGGAAAACGGAAGGTCAACTGCCATCCTTTAATAACCTATTAGTATCATTAATGTTAGCACCTTTTAATGTTGGAATGTTTTATCTGGTTTTCGGACTATTTAAATTGCTTACTCGTGTGTTTTTTATTCTTTTGTGTAAAAAGTCCTGAGCCGGCCTCAGCTGGGAGGACGGGGTATAAATCTGATAATAAATAAATAAATGATTCTTTCTTTACAACACTCCTCCTACCTTCTGACTGACCCCCCTTTTGGTGGGGAGCAGAAAGTAGGGGTTTAAATGGCTCAGAGCTGAACCCAAGAAAGACCCCTTAAACAGATGAGCCACATGGAGAAAACAGCTAGCCCCTAGGGTTGGCTGCCCAAGAAAACCACTTTAAACAGCTGAGCCATGAAGGCAGTTTGCTCCACGCAGCTCAACTGTTTAAAGGCTTTCTTGGACAGTGCTGGCTCAGCTGTTTAAAGGTGCTGGCTGCCTAAGGATTTATTGGGTTTATTGGGCTGGTCTTTAAGGTGCTACTGGAGTCAAATCTTCTACTGCAGACCAACATGGCAACCTATCTGAAACTAGGAGGAATTTGTTTTCTAGTTGCTGAAGAGATTCTAAATGTTATTTTTCCAACAATAGACCTCATCCAGAAAAATGTGAACACAACCAAAGTCTCTAAAGCTTGGCCTTCTGGCATCTGTGTTCATTACATGGCCTCTTACACAACTGCTTCAATAGTGCCCTAACTGAAGTAATCCAGCCAGTTGCCACAGTCTCTATCAAAGCAGTTAGTAGCTCACTACCCTTCTTTACCTCAATTAAGAAGTCAATTATTCTAAACCCAGTACTTTGTTTAGTGTTTTTCCCTGTACAGTTCAGCTTCCAATATATATTCGTTGTTAGCCCTCCAAGAAAGGCTGCAAACATTTTTCCCCCAATTCAAACCAGTGTTGTGTTTATTAAAAGGTGGCCAATCATTGGCACATAACTTCTCTTTTTGTCTTCTTTCTTATCCAAAGTACCAAAATTCTGGCTTTCACTGCTTTCCTAAATTTCTTGCACGGACCCAAGGAAACTGGCTTATTCTTATTGTTCAGGTGTTTGAATGAAAACAAATGGCATAAAAAAATTAAAATGTACTCATGGTCAGTTGTGATCTACCCTTCAAACTGGGGGCCTTCCAAAAGGGCAGATAAAAAACCAAAAAACCAAAAATGACATTCACAAGGCTTATTGTGTTACCCTCCATCTTCCACCATCACAAGTAGTATTGTCAACATGTCCATACAGACACACATATGCCTAAATTGTGTATGTTGTGGCTTTCACACTGGTAGCTGACATGATGAAATAGAGGACAGAGCTTCTGTAAGTTTACATAACTGTATCAAACTAAGTACAATTTTTCTCAAACACCAAGTGTTTTTCCCAAAATTCCCTTTCCCCCCTAGCTATTAACAGCATCAGTGTTCAGTTGAGGAATTCACCATAGCAATATTAAGCAGGCAATATACACCTTCATCTATATAAAAGAAAGTCCCCTCACCGTAAAATCAATGCCCAGGCCAAACCGCTAAACCTAGAGACACCAAATTTGGGAAGAGCACTCCTACCATGATGTAGATGCTCACTAAGAAGGGATTTTTAGAAATTCAGCCCCTAAGTGGGTCAAAAAGGGTAAAATGTGCTCCCACCATTGATTCCTAGGCTGGCAAGCTGCTGCTGCCTCCTTGCACCCCCCACTCTCTGATTGGTCAGCTGCAAAGCTCAGCATTCTGAGGTTAAAAAAACAGTTACAGGAGACTGCACAGAGCTAACAACAGTTGAGGAAATCAGGAATAGCAGTAATGCAGTGAGGTGCAGTAATGCTGCTGGCCCAGCCTCTTTGATGGCTTCCAACACACCCACCTCCTACACCTAACAGGTGGTTGTTTTTCAGGTGCAGC